CTCTCTCTCTCTCTCTCTTTTTTTTTTTAAATCTGCCTGCCCAGGAAACTGGATCTGTGTCAGCCGGGGTCCTAATTACAGGCTTTTTAGCCTAAACCTACAGAGACAGCCAATGGCAGGGAATCACAGCGGCAGGCAGGGAGGGGAAGAGCAAAGGATGGCGGAGGGGAGGGTGTACATTAACCCTACAGGGGAAAGAGCTCTAGATGACATCTGTTTTTCTCGCTACCTCTCATTTTCCGAGCGTCCGCGCCCTTCCCTCCATCTGCGGCTCAGTTCACCCCGGGTTGCCGTTTTGATGACTTTTATGATCCGCGCGGTGATTTATTTTCCTACCTAGATCAGAAAGAGTTGAAGCTTCATGAAAGAGGGGAACTGTCATTACACCCCAATTTAGAGGTGGAGAAACTTTGGCTGGGCTCTCACAAAGGAGTTAGCCAGAGGCAAGTCAGGATGTCCTAGTTTTCGCAAGCCCTGAACACCTGACGAGTCTCCCAAAAGCCATTTAGACCGGCTTCGGCTGCAGCAATTGCACTCGGGCAAGAGTCAGGGTAAGATTTATCAGTCTCTGACGCAAGGCAGAGCGTCTTTGTTGTAGTTCTGTGTATTTCTCACATGCCATAAGATTTTCCTGCCTGCTGATGTGACTTTGGGGATGGGCACAGGCACAGCATCCCCCAAAAACCCACGTCTGCAGGGACCGGACCAGACCTCTGCCACCCGCGTGGTCCGAGCACCTCGCTGCCCAGGAGCTGCGTCTTGTTTCGGGGCTCCGAGGGGTGCAGGCGGCTCGTAGGTCCCTGGGACCAGGGTCAGGACTGCAGCCTAAATCTGTAAAGTGACGGTAATTTGTCAGAGCGGCCAGGCTCCACGGCAAGCCGCTGGCACTGCTGAGAGAGGCCATGCAGGGCGGTGTTGGTGCCCGGGTTATTGCACTGCTCACTGGTGGTTTATAGCTCTGCAAAATCACCTGGGCAGGGAAAGAAGCAGGAGGAAAAGGAGAAGGGGCAGGCGAGCACCTCTGCAGGCTGCCGCTCTCCGCTTCCCCGCAGAGGGGTCCCATCGGGGCTGTCGAACCAGTGCTGCAATTCCCCAGGGACCCTTTAAGGTCCCAGATCTGCGCCGGGGAAGTTAATCCGCTGTTTGGCTTTGGTGGGAGGTTGGTCTCCGCAGCTGTATCTTGACCCGTTTGCTGCTATGGACTTTGTACCGCCGGGTGGTGGTGGGCCCCCCCCTCCTCCCCGCTGCCAGCTCCCAGCCTGAGCTGCGAAGCGGCTGCTGCCTGCACTCCCCTCGCTTCACCGTCCCTCTGCACGGCGGAGAGATTAATGGGCAAAGTCCTTGTTAGGAGAGGTACAGGGACTCAGACTCGAGACTCG